CCAGAGCACCAGGAGTTCTTGAAGATCCGTGCCAGAGGCTGAGCTATGATGCTAGTCAGCTCCTTGAGTACCCTTGGGTGTAGATTGTCAGGATGGATGACTTGAAGGTGTCCAACCTCTCAAGGTGTTCCTTCACAAGGTCAACATTGATGGAGGGCAATAAAAGGGAGGTTAAAAAAAGGTAGTAAAGATTTTACTGGTAGAACAAAAGCCAATTGCTGGAATCCCCTTGCATGCACAGGGAATGCCAAGAGCATCTAATCCAGTACTGTGAGGGCATGGTATAGGTTGGCCACATGGAGGACAAGAGGGTCAGACTACTGATTTGTGCTTCACACAGTAGGAAAAATTTTGCAATAAGAATGTAGTTAATAATTCTGTTGCTGATGCACAGCTAGGCTAGAACCACATCTTTCTGCCATTGCTGCTCGTTCAGCAGGAACAGCAAAGGCTGATTTTTAATCAGAAAGCTAAGGAGACAATTCAGAACATACATCACAGAGGAAGCAGATTTGCCAACTTGGAAAGGGCCTTTTGAGAAAGTAGCTTTTCTGTCTACCTTTTAAAGGGATAAATATCTTACAGGGCTGCAGCTCCTGACAGGATAAAGGTCCTGGAATGACAGGAGGCACAGAACTAAATGCAGCTGTCAGTTAACTTTGGAGGCGCAGCTGGTGAACTCAGACTGGCGGAGCAGGTGAACTCAGACTGGCGGAGCGGGTAGAGTGTCCCTCAAAAGTGTGTGTGGGGGGGCAGTTTGCAGCAGGCCAGGAGAAGTGGAGGGGAGGGGCGCTTGCAGCCAGCCAGGCACTCCGGCTGGGAGCGGGGAGGCTACAAACCATCCCACTTCTGGCTGGCTACAAACCCCTGTCTTCCCGCCATGTGCCACTTCACCTGCCCCACCAGTCTGAGTTCACCAGCCATGCCTGCCCATCAACTGTAAAACCAAACCTCTAAGCCAGCAAATAACTTTTTGCACCTCAGTACAGATACAGATTATTACCACTGAAGATGCCCAATCAATATTCAGGTCTCTAAAAGCCAAGCTCTCACAACTGGGTATTTTGATTCATCTCCACACAGCCTTCAAAAATGATACAATTAGTTGCGCCACCAAAGGATGCTTGCTTGACATAGGAGAGACAATGCAAGATGTTACTTAACCCTTACCCATGGTTTGCTTTCTTATGCCTGCTGATCTCCTTCTCTCCTTCTATGATCCACTGTAGGATTTTCTGGTTCCTCTCAGCATCTTCAGGAGATCCTGGCATCTCATAGCTGGCACCATCACTTTTCCCTGAATCAGTCTTCTTGACATTTCTTTTTGAAAGTAGACTTGCTTTCCCACTGAAAGAACAAGGCTTTGAGATATTAGCTACTTGTCTGTATGCTAACAGCAGAGAACTATCTGATTATGGACACTTGTACTTTCTAGATATATTCAGATTACAACTCCACAGCCTGGATTAAAGCCCTGACATTTGAACTGCTTTTCAGAGGCTCACAAAGCACAGCGTGGGAATGTCCTGCTGACACAGTCAAATTTCTGCTGTGACACAATCACAGTAGTTTAGATCAAAGAGAAGACTTTGTTTCATACTATTTGTGCTGAAACCTGCTAAGGCTGAGTGTGCCATACTTCTAATACATCTTACACTGGACACTGCCAGGGAACTTCTCCCTTGTTGAAAGGAGCACAGCAGTATGATGCATGCCCTGACAAACTCTTAGATGTTTGGCAAAGGAATGAGGGCCTGGGCTAAACTCCAAACCTAGCTCATTCTTCAGTCATCCACCCTGTCTGGTGTTAGAACATCATAACACAAGGTTTGCCATTTCAGATCAGGCCACACTGTTCCTTCTGTTTGCCACCCAAAAACAGGCTGAGCCCACAGTCTGAGCCCTTGTGTGCCAGGCTCTCATGCTCAGTGTTTTACCTCACACTGGGTGCACCTACACATGCATATTAATGCACAGCTATAAACTCCAGTGCATGTCACACCAGAATTTATTGCTCCCAGGCTCTACATTTACATGTGTGCCTGGAACTGCTGCATGTTGAGCCACGTCAGAGCAGCCCAGGGCTGCTTTGACGTGGCTCAACATGCTGCAGGGGGGCTGGCTGGGACAGAAGGTTGCTCTAGTGTGGAGCTAGCTGGCAGGCAGCTCCCGCACTGAAGCACCCTTGTGCCCCAGCCAGCTGGTAACTGTCTACACATGCTGTGCATGAAAAAACTATGCAGCAGAACAGTACTTATATTTACAGGATAGTACTTATATTTACAAGTACTAACCTACTGCAGAATTTATTAGTTTCCTGTGGCTTAATAGGGCCACATACGTAGATGCTGAGGCACTGACTACCGAGCTTATTAGGCAACTGCAGTAAATATCTCAGGTAGATGCGCCCACTGTGGCCAATACCTCATGCCTCAAACCAGGCTGCAAAATAGTTTAGAGGGGGCTTGCTCCTCATCTCCACAAGCTCTCAACTCATGCTTTGAGGACACTGTAGGCCTTCTGTAATAGTCTCATTTAAAGACTAGAGTCTGGGAACCCTACTCATCCTTGCTGGATTCTTCTGTTTTTACCTGGATGCCCTGTGTAAACCTTCTGGCTTTAGGGTATCTCCTTTTTTCCCCTTTAAAGGGCAGCTCCACTCCTCTTTTCTCATTCCTTTTGGGAAACATGTAGCCATTCCAGCCTCTCTGCTTCCTCTTCTCTTCACAAAAGAACTTAGGCTGCTCTTCTTTCCCATTCCATGGTGGGGAAAGTCTGACTTCCCCAGTCCCACTCAGATGGCTTGACCTGCCCTGAAGTCTCTAGTAACCTGGAGCTTAACTCAGAATTCTTAGAATATCCCTTACAGTCGTGCCTCCCTTAAGTCACACACAAAAAGGTATCACTGACAGTTGTTATTAAAGATGTTACTGAGCAACCACCAGCCATGGACAAAAAGAGATCTGGATGGCATAACCAAGACATAATTTAATAAATCAACAAATGAAACCTGGTGCAAAAGAGCAGAACCAAACTCTCACTGCTGCTTCTTCTCTGTCAGATAAGCACACAGATGGGTGGGAGAAAATAGAAAAGGAAGGATTTGAACGCAGCTACAGAAACACAGCAATGATCTTCTTCAGGAAGTGGTCTCCATCTTTGAGGCGCAATCAAGACTGAACCTTGGTTGTTGGAGGGTGGGCAAGCCAGTCCAGCTAATCTTAGTTATTTCAGTGTGTAGAGCAAGGTAAACCTTGGGTCCTGCACTAAAAATGGTGTTTACACGCTCTCATTAAACCCAGAAAAATGGTAATAAGTCCCTGAAAATTCAACCTTCAGTTTAGTGGCAGTGATACAGCATGCAGAAAGAAGTCCCATCTACAGCTTTTATACACTTACAGCACAATGAAGAGCAGGAGACTACCACATATCATAACTGCTGAAGGTGCAGACCAATTTCAGAGGAAGCTTTTCTATGGATATATCATAGAGATGGTAAAGGCATGCACAACTGCAAAAAGCCACTTCTGAAGGGAAAAGATCTGCCAAATAGATGAGAGGCATTCAAGCTGTGTCCTAGTATGGGCTCCTATGGTAAGCAGCAGCCCATAGGGATGCCAGAATGTTATACACCTCTCTTAGAAACAGGGGCCACACTTCATTTATACAGTGACTTGCACAATGCAAATAAAATTGTTACAAAGCAACAGCTCAGGACTTTCACAGGTGTGCCTGCTCACCTGTAGCCTAGTGATTCCATGGGGTTGGGTGCCATGACCATGCTTTCATTGTAGTTCCGTGATTTTGTTGCATAGTTATGTGAATCTACGTTCCAAGCAAAGCTGTTCTGTACTCTCTGGGTAGCCTCAGCCTCGATCTGCTCTTTTGGTTTCATCATACTGTGGTGATGGATGTGGTGGTAGACATGCTTATGGTGGTACAAGTTAGCTGCATCAAGTTTCATTCCTGATTTTGTGGTGTGCTTGCCATGTCCTGGAGGTATTGTCCCTGGCATGCCAGGCATCTTGCCAGCATGACTGCTCTCTGGGGATCGAGGCTTGGGGGAATGGCGACCAGGCCCTGGGGACTGACAGCCTGGGGTTTTCATGACGCGCTGTACATGTTCATCAAGAATGCTTTCTGGGTTCTCTTCATGGGCATCTCTCATCTGCATCCCAGCACAGCTCATCTCAGAGTAACGAGGTGTGAAGTGATGCATGGTCTGGGTGGAAGGCAGCTTGTGGCTAATAACTGAAGGACCAGAAGAGAGATCTGCATCCTCACCTTCTTCCTCCTGCAGGCAACATAAAGAGAAGAGAAATCTGAGGCCTGGTTCCCTACCACACTCGTGGCACACAACATTTAGGCTTGTTCCAAACAACAGTAAGTTTCTGACTATATCAGAAATGAAAACATGAAATTTATAGATGGAGTTCATTGAAAAGTAGTTCTATTCTATTTCAGAGCAGGTGGGTCCTCATAAAACTGTTGCAAGTTCCCTTTAACAGCTGACAAATGAAATGAAGCAATCAGTTTGTAAGTATAGCTTCCAAAGAATGCTTAATAAGGTGTCACAGCAAAGCATACTGGATAAAATAGTTACGGGATATATTCAGTCAAACAGATTAATGAGCACATGAAACAAGCAATAGAAAATGGAAAAACTGCTTGACTACCTGTGGAGAAGATTGTGGGGTTTTCTCAAATAAAAAAATTAAAACATCTCAAAACAAAGCAAGCAGCATGCTGAGGATACAAAAAATAACTGAAGGATGACAGCTGCCTGGATGGATGCAGAAATGAGGAATCCACTTATAAAATGCATGAGCTATAAGGCAAAATGCTTTGTACAGATGAAGTAGCCAGGTTATAACTAAAATGCTCATTAGACTAGCCTACAAATGGATCCCAATGCGTAGTTGATGACTGTATTTTAAAACAAAGAATTACATTTTAAATTCATAGGCATTCCAAAAAGAAACCCCCCCCACAAAACTTTCCATTGCTAATAGTCAGGAATTTTGACACACCTTAGATAGTAACTTGGCAACATGTGCAAGTCAATTTAAGGTGTGATAATAAAGTAAATGAGCCACAAAGTTATTCTGCATATAAAGTGGAATAACTTTGGGGCTCATTTGTATCATGTGTTACCACACACCTGTCAAAACCTCAGGTGCCTCTGAGCTGGACAGTGCACCAGGTTTTACAGTTCCTGGCACACAGAGACACTGGCATTTGGTTGCAGCAGCCAACTGTTGGACTCCCATCAACCGGGACCTGCCCAAACCCCACATACTACTCAGCCGAGTGGCATATGGGTTTTTTTTTACTTCCAATGCACAGGGAGCCTGGCATCAAGCTATGGCAGCTCAATGCTGGGCCCTCTGTGCCCTGGGAGTTATAAAGCTCCCAGGGCACAGAGGGACCAGATGAGTGGCACATGGGTTTTTACTCATCCCTGGCACATAGGGTCACCAGGATCAGGCTGTTGCAGCCCGATCCCATGGGCCCTGTGCCCCGCCCAGCCAGGGTTTTGGCAAGCTGTTGATTGTTGGCTGGGACTGGGGATGGGTTTGGTTCCTGGCCCCAACTGACAATTGTCAGGGACCCCAGTTTCATTTTGCCGGTGCAGGGGGGAGCTCAGGCATGGCATGATATGCAATTGTTGGAATCATTAGTTGGACCTGGCTCGTCCAATGTCTGTATAGACTGGGTGCTTTAGTGGGGGTTTTTGGCACCTTTATGTAATAGCTGATTGAATCAGCTATTAGAAAAAAGTGCTAAAAAGCCCCCCTGAAGTGCCCAATCTAGACAGATGCTGTGGAGCCAGGTCAAAGTAATGTATTGCTTCTTCTGGTAAAGTTTGTTTTGTTTTGTTTGGAGTATTTTTTAATGTCTGCAAACAGCCATGAAGTACATTTCCTGATGGGACATGTTATTTTTTGAACTACAGTGACATTTCACAAGAACGAGTAGTTCGTTCCTTAAGGAAACGATACTCAGGGCCCAAGGGGTGACCATCCCAACAAGAAGCAAGGGGGGCAAGAGTGCCCGAAAGCCTCCCTGGCTCACCAAGGGTGTCCGGGAATGCCTAATTGTCAAAAAGGCGGTGTACAACCGGTGGAAGGGGATTGCTATTTCCAAAGAGGAGTATACGTCCTCTGCTCGGGCCTGTAGGGAGGCTGTCAGGAAAGCTAAGACGGACATAGAGTTAGTACTATATTCCAAGATCAAAGATAATAAAAAGTCCTTTTTCAAATATATAGGGAGGATGAAGAAAGCACCGGAAAATGTGGGGCCCCTGCAAGATTCTCTGGGCAATCTGGTGGTTGTGCCAGAGGAGAAAGCAGACCTCTTTAACCAATTCTTCACCTCCGTTTTCTTATGCAGGGCCCAGGCACTAGTAGGTC